CGACCACCCTGAGCGCTCTTTTAGCGAACGGAAGGGTTGCTGCATTTCGCGCGTGCCCGGGACGCCATCGCGGGCCTCACCCCTCGGGCTCTGCAGGAGAAAAGGGAAAAGCTGCCCTGCGGCCGACCCTGAGGTGCGGAGGATGATGGACGGGCGGAGTCGCGGGACCGGGCGGCGTTTGAATGGACGCCGAGTTGCTCGGACGCCGGTGGACTCCAATGTGGGCCTGGAACCCGGGCTGGGAGCCCCGGGGAAGTTGCTGGAACGCTCCGGGCCTGTTTCCTCGCGCTAAGTCAGCAGCGGTGGAGGCGTTAGGAAGTTTAATGTGCAGTTTTACGCCAAGTGTCTCGTCACAGAGCCTGACCTGTGGCATTTGATGAACGCTGAGTTTAAGGACGAGTTGGTCCGGGGCAGAGGGTGCGCACGTCGGAAAACGCGGACGTGAGCATGCTGTCAGGCCAGATTTTTACAGTCTCTGTGGATTTGGGGGACGGGATGGAATTATAGCTAGTGGAGTAGGGACCGTTGCATGCTAAGCACTGCACCAGAATTAACTTGTATGATTCTCACAACCTTAGGAGGTAGGTTCTCACTAAGAAGATTTTGTAAATAAGGATCCTCGGGCTTCACGAGGTGAACTGGCAGACGTCACCAAGCTAGGAAGGGACCAGCGTTTAAAAATCAAAACTCAAGCCTGATGTGTCACAAGAGCCATTTTTGGTTCTTGACTCAACCCAGATACCAAAATCTGTTGAAGTGATAAATTACTATTTTTGAGGGGGTAAGTTTGTAGGCAAGGTTTCTTGGTGTAGCCCTGGCTGTCCTGGAACTCTGTAGACCAGGCTGGCTTCAAACTCAAGAGATCCTCCTGCTTCTGCCTCGGGAATGCAGCCATTAAAGGCGTGCGCCACCACACCCGGTGAGAAAATTATCTGAAGAGGTCTGGCCGGCAGTCTTCCTCTAGACTCTTACTGCATACCAGAACCCTACCCTCCAGTCTCTCCTCGGCTACACTCAACTTTCCAACACTCTGAAATAGGCCCTATAGTTCTCTCTTGTGAATGAAGAACTAGAGATTGACGAGAAAGCCCTTTGCCTCCTTTCAGTAAGAGTTCATTATGTTAGTAGGATCCAGTATGAAGTCCACCAAGTACTGCTGATGAGCAATAATTTGCCTTTTATATCCGATAAAAGAAGGGAAACTCTTCAGATCATTGGGGTGGTCGGAACTTCAAACAGCGATGTTTTAGGATTGTTAATGTAAGCCTGGGTTGTTCAGTGGTACAATATTTAGTTTTCAGGAGTCTGGCCCTGGGTTTGATATTCAACATCACAAAAGGAAAGTAGGGGGGGAGTACTTGGAACATTCTGGTGATAACAGTGTTCAGGGAGATGGTAATCGGGAGGTGGAGGTAGGTGGATTTCTGAGTTCCAGGCCGCCTGGTCTACAAGAGCTAGTTCCAGGACAGGCTCCAATACTACAGAGAAACCCTGTCTCGAAAAAAACGAAAAGAAAAAAGAAAAAAAAAGGTGAGCTAGAGACATGGGAAAAATCTGGTTTAGAATCTGGAATTTTTTTTTCTTGAGGTAGGGTCTATTCACCCTGTGCTGGCCTCAAACCTTACCTGTGTGGCTGAGGATGCTCTTAGACCTGTGACTCTCTCTACCTCCCTACACTGGGGTTGCAGGTATGCACCGATTTCAGCTGTGAGTTTATAGAGGAATGTGGTGGGAAACTGATAAATTCACAATACAAACCTGGGGCCATGTCCCTGAGTTCTACCTTTGATACTTGACAACTCACTTGTAAGTCAAGCCTCATTCTCTATTCTGTACAAGAGAGGTAGTACCCACCTCATAGGGTTACTATGACAATACAGTTAAACAATATTACAGACCTCATCCCCTACCCCCAATGCTGGAGGTAAGTACTCCACTACTGAACTTCACCTCCAGCCCATCTTTTCTTATTTCACGTATTCTTCATTTTTTAAAAAAATACTTTTTAACTAATTTAGTCATTTTATTTTCTATATATAGTGATCTGCCTACATATACACCTGCATGCCAGAATAGGGCACTGGATCTCATAGTAGATGGTTATGAGCCACCATGTGGTTGCTGGGAATTGAACTCCAGACCTCTGCAAGAGCAACCAGTGCTCTTACCTCTGAGTCATGTCTCTAGCCTTCTTTTCTTCATTAAAAAAATAATAATCTTTTGAAAAATATGTTTTTGTTTTTTTTAGGGCCATGAATGGAGCTTAAAGAATGGTGCTTGTCTAATGTACATGAGGCCCAGAGTTGGATCTCTAGCACCACTAAAAAAAGAGGCAAAAAAAAAGGAAAAATAGGTGTGGTGACGTACACCTTTGATGTCTCCAACTCTCTGGAGACAGAGGCAGGCAGATCTGTTTGAGTTCTAGGCCTGCCTGATCTATATAGTGAGTTCTAGGACCAGGCCAGCCAAGGATAAACAGTGAGACCCTGTCTCAAATAAATAAATAAAATCCCCCCAATCCATGCTCATCAGAAGCAACACTAATTAAATGTTGCTTTAATTAGTGGGGCAAAAACAACATAAAGACAGCAAAGTAGGAGAGGGTCTTGTTATGAAGAAAGGTTTAACAGGAGGGGCTGAGGTTGGCGAAGGGGGAATATGGTCAAAAGTACATTGTCCGTGACTTTATAAAAGAATAAAAAAGATTCTTTTCCCCATAAAACTAATCCTAGACCCTGAAGAGCCCTCACTTGAGTAGCCCCCATTCTGAGGCACTGACCCGGATCATATTCTTATTATATGTTATAATTTTGGTTTTTGAGAGAAATATCAAAATTCTAGGTAGTAAAGCCTGGATAGGGACTTAATGTTGTAAGTAGAATGCAGGCTTTGGAGTCACCTCTGACTCACAACTGCTCTCTGGGCAATTCATTAACTGAACTCTGGCTCCAAGTCCCTTCCCAAAGTAAGTTAAAGATAAATATTGAGAAGCTTGAGCTCTTGTGATAATCAATGAGATAGTATTTGCAAAAGTGATCAGTAATTCTTTGAAAGTCCTCCATAAGTTTATGAATTATTTATTTTTTTTCCAAGACAGGGTCTCTCTGTAGCTTTGGTGCCTGTCCTGGAACTAGCTCTTGTGGACCAGGCTGGCCTTGAACTCACAAAGATCCACCTGCCTCTGCCTCCCTGAGTGCTGGGATTAAAAGCATGCATCACCACCACCCGGCCCCATGAATTAATATTTTTATTTTTAACTAAACATGTTTAGTGTGTGTGTGGAGGTTAGGGAACAACTTTTGGGAATCAACTCTCTCCGTTCACTATGTGAGAGCTGGGATTGAACTCGGTTTGTCAGGATCAGCAACAAGTTCCTTTATCTACTGAGCTATCTTTCTGGGCCATGAATTAATATCACTGTTTACAAGATGCATAGGAGGGAAAGATCAAAAGAACTACAGGAGGCTGAACAAGGAGCTCTGTAGTAGGGCACTTGTGCATCACACTCAAGGGCTTTAATGTGATAGCCAGCACTCCAAACAGCAACCAAAAAAAATAGGCAAAGCAAACAATAGGGCAGGTGATTTGGAGAAAACAATGGGATAGTACCAATTAAAGTCCTTGTTCTAATTTAAGCCTTGACATATTGAGGAAATAAACTGAGAAGCAGATTCAAAAATTTAAAACTCAAGAACACTGCAACACACTTCCTCCAGACGCAGGTGGCTCCCCGGCTGAGCCTCCACCTCACCAGGGAATACTAACATTCCTGTGGGATCAAAGAATTTTATAAGAACGTGATGGATAGAGAGGACAAAGCCCATGGTGGTTGGGGAGGCCTTGATACCATGTCTGACAAATTAATACTGTCTGTTGGTCGTTCATCTATTGTAGAAAAAGGGAACATACTCTTATGTCAGGACCAGTAAAGGCCTACTGAGTGGGAGAGGTCGGTTTTAGAGAGATCCCTTCACACGTGCTCTAAAGTACCCATGTATTTGACTTACAAGTTCTGCTATGTTTACAGCACCGAGATTCTAGAATTCCGAACTGATCATAATTGTGAATTTATTAGATTGTTAAATATAATAACCTAATTGTTTTCATTATTATTATTATTATTATTATTATTATTTAACAATTGCCTGGCATGGTAGTTCTCCTCTTTAATCCCAACACTTAGGAGACAGGAAAACAGATCTGGGATTCTTAGGCCAGTTTGTGCTATGTAATGAGTCCCCAATTTCAAGAAAAAGAAAAGAACCGGGTGGTGGTGGTGCACACCTTTGATCCCAGCACTCTGGTGGCAGAGACAGGAGGATCTCTGAGTTTAAGGCCAGTCTGGTCTACAGAGCAAGTTCCAGGACAGCCAGGGCTACACACACACACACACACACACACACACACACACACACACACACACAGAAATTCTTTCTCAGAAAACAAAACAACAACAAAAAAAAACCCAAAAACTTCCAGCTGAGAAGAGGAAAATGATGAACATACCTCCATAGACATTTAACACAGATGGAAATCGAGGGGCTGTGCCCACTTTTATGATTCTGTCACTGGGAAAGCTGAGGCAGGAGGAGTGCATGAATTTAGGCCTGAACTAGATGCTGCCAGACTGATCTGCCAAACATAGCAAGACACTGTCTCAAAGAGAAAATAAAATGGGTTCAAAGAAGCTCAAAAGGTTTTTCTGAGGGCATGATCAGAAGAACCAGGATATCCGAGCACCGACCAGGCTCTTGCTCTCTCAATTGCATTCCTTAAGAGCAGATTATCTTTGCATGGAGTCTTACAAAGTCATTACACTGAGGCAGAGGACCAGTAATGTGCTCTATAACTTAGCTTTATAGCAAGTTTCCCAGAATCTGCATCTACTTTAAGTTTAGTAAACTGAGTGGTGATTTGGATTCTGCCTCAGACAATTTGTACGGTTTGCAAACTTGTCGAAGTGAACAAACTAATAATATTTCAAGGTAAGAGTTACAACTTCATAAATTAGTGACGGTGCAAAATTGAAAAATACTGACAATGTGCTTTATCTGGGAAGGAAAAAAACACAGCATTTTTGTCTGGAAATTTGGAACTGCTTATGTCTCTCAATTCTATCACCTTTTTGATATAGAAAACAGGAAGTTCCTATTATCCCCATTTTACTAACAATACAGTAAAGGATTCTTTGTTTTTCAAGACAGGGTTTCTCTGTAGCTGTGGAGTCTGTCCTGGAACTAGCTCTTGTAGCCCAGGCTGGCCTTGAACTCACAGAGATCCTTCTGCCTCTGCCTCCTGAGTGCTGGGATTAAAGGCGTGCACCATCACAACCCAGCTTAATAAAGGATTCTTTTAAACACAATTTATTCAGTCAAGAACACACCCCTCACATAGAACTAATGTGGAATATGGAAAATGAAGTTTGCAAGTACCAGGCCACATAAACAATACAGTGGACCCTATTTATAAAAATGATTGGTGATCTTGGGAATGTGGACAAGTACTTGTGAATAAACATTATTTGTCTTTGTAACAGAGGGAGAGATGGGAAGGGGCAGAGATTGGAGTTTAATAGAACTGAGAGCCGTGTATGGAACAAGTGCTGGCTAAGCAAACACCGAAAGTGTGATTCCTGACGACCCTCTTTAAAGTGGAGAGCACTCGCTCCAAGCATCCTCATCTAGATGCTTGTGAGTCAGCTCTGGTCCTGCTGCTTCCTGAAGTCTTCGTCTGAATCTCTAAAATGTTTGAAGGGTAACCCAGTAATGATGGGGTGTGCTCCAGGCCCTCTCTGAACTCTTTCTCCTTGGCTCTTGCTATTTTGAACTTTTTATCACCAGCCTGCACCAGTTTAGCATCCTGATCTGTCGCTTCCCCGGCTTCCTGCGCACAGGAGATAATTTGGTCAAAATGGTTTGACAGAAAACAAATTGCCTGCAATAAAATTTTCTTCAGTGCAAAAAGTAGTAAACAGTTGCTTAACAACACTTTTTAGTATATGTGCCTGGGCAGAAACATTTTGTCTGTGCAGTAGGGGTTGTAGTGGGATGGGGGATGTGAGGGTATGCCCATATATTGATACGTTTTTCAAAGAATCATATTGTGTCTGTTTTCTGCTTTTTTTACATTTAGACAAAACACCCATACACATACAAAAATAATTTTACAAATTATAAAAAAAATACATGAGTATAACTTGCTTTATGTAGCTATTAATCCTAGAGGAGAAAATGCGGAGTTTGAGGCAACCATTATGAAAGGTGTTGACCATGAAACCTGTCTTTAACACCAAAACGTCAGTTGGCTACTGCCCCGTCCTCATCTGCATTAGGAGTAGTGCGAGTCTAGGCAGCCAAGTTGGATGGAGGTAAAGATGTTGGAGATGGATTTTGAACTTGATTTTAAGGTCCCTTTTGGAGCTGAGGTATGACATAGTAGTAGAACACATGCCTAGCATTTATGAGGCCCCGTGTTCCATCCCCAGAACCACGATAAATAAAACTCTTTGAGGTGACGTGTGAGAACCCCAAATCTTCCCTGAGGTCTGGCATAGCATATTGCCTGAAACACTTGTGTGTAGATGTGGTCCAGAAGCTACAAACCTACATTGTAGTCTTCCCTGCCTCTCCATTTTACACCACCCCTGCGTTGTAGCCAAGCATGTACTGCACGCCTGTGAACCCGGCATTCTTGGAAGCAGGCACAGGGGATTACAGCACCTGAGCTACAGGTGGGACCTGTATCTATAAATAAATAGCTTCAGATGTTGTGCCTCTATTTGCTTTGATGTGGGTACCTTTTTGTGCTCTTGCAGTCCAGCATCCCTCTTTGGGTAAAAATGTAAAGGTTTCCCCATTATAGTAAATGCCTTGCCATTCAGAAAGTAATTGTCACACAGAACAGCTTGGGACATGGAAGGTGGCACTTTATGGTGCTGATTTAAAGGAAGTGTGAACTGGGCAGAGGGTTCAGCCAGAAGGCTCAGTGGGTGAATCGCTTGTTGTGGAGGGTCTAGCCACTCAAGTTCAATCCTCAGGAACTGTTAAGGTGGCAGGAGAGAATCCTCTCCACAACGTTGTCCTCTGGCCTGCACGTTCATGCCACGGCACCCCATGCTCCCCTTACACACACACACACACACACTCAATGGAAAGCTGGGGGTGGGGCTAAGTTGGCAAAGTGCTGCTGTCCGTGTATGAGGACCTAAGCTTGGATCTCCAGCACCCATGTAGCGGGGGTATGGTTTTGGACACGCTTGTAGTCTCAGCACTGGGGAGGCAGAGATGGCATGATCTCTGGACCTTGTTGGCTACCTACTCTTGCTCAATCAGAAGCTCTGGAGTGGAGAGCAGCAGAAAATACAACCAGTTTTGTCCTCTGGCTTCATTCAGCACGCGCGATCGTACACATACAAAAGAACTCAGGGCCTGCCTCACTGATGGGAAAAGGGCCTCTGCCACAGTACTGCCTATTCCTGGAGAACAAGCATGTTGGGTATGTGTCAGTGCATGACTAATCTCTAAACTGTAAGTGTCCAAACAAAAGCCTGGAGGACCAAGAAAAAAATTTCTTCAGCCCAGTATAAGATAATGACATGTGAGCAGTGTGGGGAGGGAGAGCCCACTAAACCCTCCAGGCATCCAAATTCAGATGTTTAAAAGACTCTCTGTGAAGCCCACGACCTATCTAATGATTTTTCAAAAAAAAATTTAAAAAGATAGCACTTGAGAGGTAGAGGTTGAGATCGAGAGTTCCAAAAAGGGAGGCCAGTGAGCTAGCTCAGCATGGCAGGAGCTTGTTGCCAAGTCCAACAACCTGATTTTAATTCTCGGGAACCCACAGGGTGGAAGGAAAGAACAGACTCCTGTAAATTGTCTTATGACCCCTGCATGCTAAATAAATGTTTAACAAGGTTTTGTTTTGTTTTTCAAAATAAAGGAAGAAGCCATAAACTTATAAGCCCAGATTTTTGAATTTTTTTTTAACTTTGCTTTTTTGATACAGGATTTCTCTGTGTATCCCTGGGTGTTCCGGAACTTGCTTTGTAGACCAGGCTGGCCTTGAACTCAGAGATCTGCCTGAACCTGCCTCCTGAGTGCTGGAATTGAAGGTGTGTGTCACCATGCCTGGCCCTTATTTTCGATCAGTATAAAGGAGAAACACAATGCAGGATGTTGGTCTCTGTGTGTGTGTATGGGGTGGGGGGGTGTAGAAGGAGAAACGAGAAAGCATGTTCGGAGAGTGGGCCAAACAGTATTTCCGTAGACTGATTTATTCCAGCGAGGTCTTTTTGCGGTGTTTAGAAGGCAGACAAAAAGGTGCTTCCTCTGCCAGATGTCTTCAGTAGTACCTGTGGTGACTTGAAAGGTCTCCAGGAGAAGCCTGATCTGAGAACAGGGATCATAGTAACAGACTTGGCAATCCTCCCTCCCCACGTGGAGAGCTTTTCATGGTCACCTTTGGCAGAGCAGAGCTCCCCTTAAAAAGACTCATGCTTCCTTTGGTCACCATGGCTACACTTCATCTTTTGCACTAGAATGACCCAGACTCTGACTCCATAGCCAAAGGGACATTTTTTTTTTTGTTCTCTCCCTGGTGTCTTAGAACACTTGGTCCCAGGCTGGAGACTCAAGGGGAGCTGTTTGGTGTCCTGTAGAAGTGCACGTTCCTCCTACTGTCTACCACTTTTTTTTTCCCCCAGGTAGGGTCTTATGTATCCCTGGCTGGCCTTAAGCTCACTGTGTTGCCAGATGTGATCTAGAACAGTAGTTCTCAACCTGTGGGTCTTGACCCCTTTTGGAGATCGAATGACCCCTTCACAGGGGTCATCTTTCGACCATTGAAAAACATATTTACATTATGATTCATAACAGTAGCAACATTACAGTTATGAAGTAGCAACAAAAAATAATTTTGCGGTTGGAGGTCACCACAGCATGAGGAACTGTATTAAAGGGTCACAGCATTAGGAAGGCTGAGATCCACCTACCTAGAGCTTCTGATCACCCTGCCTCTAACTCCTAAGTGGATAGATTACAGGTATGCGCTACTGTATCCAGTTTCTTTTTATTTTTTTTCAACCACCTCTGATTTAAAAGGAAGAGGCTGGGCTATCTTGTAGTAGTGGAACTCCCTTTGCTTTTGTGCTACCTACAGCACGTCCACCCCCAGCCTAAAGCATAATTCATCTCCACGCTCAGAATACTTTGGCCGGAATTACTATTTTTCACCACTCCCAAATTCCACCCATATGCACACATCCCTCATTATTTTGCCTTAGTGCACTAGCCACAGCAGGTACTAGAATTAAATTCCGGAGAAATTACATACTGTGCCAGCGACCAGTGAGAGGTCCAGAGCCATGAATTGCACAGGAGCAGTGAGAATGAGCACCCTGGTAGAGCACTAGGCATGACCGTCTGGGGCAGCATCAGGCTCAGACAGGTTAGCTAATGGCTCTTTAGTTTTATTTTCAATGAAAAAAGATGAGTAAAAGTGTAACTTTCTATCATCTGTCCCCTTTCTGTTTCAGTAGTCATTTCATCAGCTCAGACAAGACCGCGCCATGAAGCAGCCAAATCTGTTTTAACTACAGCACAACAGCACATAACTCCAAGACTCCTGACAGTCCATGGAATGAAGGATGGATACCAGGAGTTACTCAGGGAACCCCAATCCCGCAGCCATAAAGCTAAATAAAGACCTTCTACAGATAACCCTAGGACAGTCCTGTCCTCCGAGGGTCGTAGGTGTGTCACCAAGTAGTCTTATGCTTAATCATAAATTGAATAATTTTTAAAGAAAATGCTGAAGAGGGGAGATTTAAAGAGCCCTCCTTGACGACTCAGTTTACATGAGGCTATTATTTTATTTTGAAACAGCCTTGCCCTTTAACCCAAGCTTATCTTGAACTCTTGTTTCCTGCCCCAGCCTCCTGAGTGACATTATAATTATGGACCACCAGTAAGGTTGGTTTTTTTTTTTTAATACTGTTGCTGGGTGTGATAGCACATACCTTTAATTCCAGCACTTGGGAGGCAGAAACAGGTGGATTTCTGTGAGTTTGAGGCCACCCATATAGCAAATATGAGTCAGAACTTTAAAAAAGAAAAAGACCAGTAATAACAATGATAAATAAACAGTGTTGCTATGTAACTGGCCTAGCCTGAAAATTGCTGTTTTTTGTCCAGATTCCTCCAATTTGGGGACTACAGGTGTCTACTACAACAATCCCCCCCACACACAGGGCTTCTCTATGTAACAATTCTGGCTGTCTTGGAACTCGTTTTGTAGACCAGGCTGGCCTTGAACTCACAGAGATCCACCTGCCTCTACCTCCCGAGTGCTAGAATTAAAGGCGTGCACCACCACCTCCCGGCTACAGTTAGCTATTTTTATTCATTTATTTTGTTCAAGTTCCTTATCACAGGGTGAAATGGAGATCTGGAAAATAAGAAGTAAAATGCACGCGTGTGTTTCATAGTCCCAATCCTCAGCCTTTTGGCCTCCGTGTGTTCTGTTTCTTTGCAGAGAGCTCTTCCTAAATCGAGGTGTAGCTCAGGGGTTGTGGTGGTTAGTGTTGTCAAGCTGACTTGCTCTGGATTCACCTGGACAGAGAATCACCATGACTGTCAGATCACGCTGGTCTGTGGAGAGGTAGGAAGACCTGCCCACTGTGGGTGGCACTATTCCTGGGCAAGGGACCCGGGAAAGGAGAGTTGAGCCCTAGCTTGTGTGCATTCGTTCCCTGTTCTCTGCTCTTGACTGTGGGTGTAGTGTGACCAGCTGTTTCCAGTTCCTGCCATATTGACTTCCCACAGTGATGGACTGTCACTGGGAATTGTGAGTCAAATAAACCTTTGCTCCCTTATCGTCTTTTGTCAGAGTGTTCTATCAGAGTAACAAGCAAGGAAACTTAAGACAGCCGTAGGGCCCTTACCCAGCCCATGTAAGGTTCTGGGCTCAGTTCTGGGCAAAGGGTGTGGTACTTCTTCCTTCTACCTGGTAAACTGAGAGATGGAAGAGAGATAGGTAGATTAACAAGGAAGTTTCAGTGATTCTGTTATATAATTCAAAGCTCTTATTTTAATTTAGCTTTCCCACTGATCATTGCGAATTAATGGGGTTTCATAGTTTATATATTTGCCAATGAGGTTCTTCTACATAATTGCTTTTTAATCCTCTAATAAAAAGCATAGGAAGACCACCTCCAAATCCAAGCTATTTTCAGTGTTTCATTTCCTAGTTCCTTAGCAGGAGTGGATAATTATTTTAGATAAAGGGTTAGCTTGCCAATTAAAGTCCACCCTGTTCTTCCTCCTGTGGAAGACATGCATCTCCTTCTTGTTGGTTTAATCCTTGTTGGTTTATTTGTTTCTGAGATAGATTTTTCTATGTAACCCAGACTGGTCTTGAATTTCCACATCTCTTGTCTCAGCCTCCTGCATGCTGGAGGTTTATAGGCCTCACCATCAGGTCTATATGGTTTTGGTTTCTTTGGATTTGTTTTGTTTTGTTACTTATTGGTATCTTGTGTGTCTGTGTTGTGTGTCCGCGCATGTGGGGTGCTGATTCCTGTGAACACCAACAGAGGATCCCCTGGAGCTGGAGTTACAGGTGGTTGCGAGCCACCCGATGTGGATGCTGGAGATCACATTTCGGTCCTTTGCAAGGACAGGAAACACTCTGAACCTCTGAGACATCGCTCCAGCCCCCTGCCTGGCTTTCTCTTTGTTTTGTTTTGTTTTTTTTTTTTAAATATTTATTTATTTATTATGTATCCAATATTCTTGTCTGTGTGTCTGCCTATGGGCCAGAAGAGGGCATCAGATCTCATTTCAGATGGTTGTGAGCCACCATGTGGTTGCTGGGAATTGAACTCAGGACCTTTGGAAGAGCAGGCAATGCTCTTAACCGCTGAGCCATCTCTCCAGCCCCTTGGTTTGGTTTTTAACATTACATATGCATAAGCTTTACCAGTCTGCAAACCTGCTATCACCAGGAGAACAACCCTCATAAGGGTAGAAGGAGAGAAATGACTCCTGCAAGCTATCCTCTGACTTTTACACACACGCCCTCCCCTGTAAATAAATATAAATGTCAGTAAATAAAGAGCCCACGATGGTGGCACACACTTAGAGTCCAAGCTACTGAAGAGACTGAGGCAGGACGATGGTAAGTTTGGAGCTCACCTTGGAAATTTCGTTGAACTCTATGTTAAAAGAACTTTTTATTATCATCTTTAAAAGATTTATTTAAAAAGAAAAAAAAAGCCAGGTGGTGGCGGCGAATGCTTTCTACACAGGTGGGTGTGGTTGCTAGATATTTGTTGGTTATTCCCAAGTGTGGGTTCAGTGCCGTACAGTGGGGACACACAGCAGTTCACGTTAGCAATGCCTCTGTCCCAGGCACTGAGACACAATTTACCTAGAACTGCTCAGCAGGCAAGCACTTTTATCTGTGCTTGGGATCTGTGGTTGGATTTACCAACCAGTGCTAGGGGATCTGACCCTCTCTTCTGGACTCTACAGGCACTCACATGCGCACATCCCTTCACACACACACACACACACACACACACACTTTTAAAAAGTCCTCTTTAAAGGAATTTTTAAATTGAAAAGATATCCATTAAAGTTTGGGTACGGGCCAGACAGTGGTGGTGCACGCCTTTAATCCCAGCACTTGGGAGCCAGAGGCAGGTGGATCTCTGTGAGTTCGAGGCCAGCTCTGGTCTACAAGACCTAGTTTCAGAACAGGCTCCAAAGCCAGAGAGAAACCCTGTCTCGGGAAAAAAAAAAAAAAAAAAAAAAAAGTTTGGGCACGGAAGCACATTCTAACATAAAATTTGAAAGTGTTTTTTTAGTGCTAGGGCTGTAGACAAAATTTACCTTGTTTTTATTTGGGTTTCTTTGGTAATTTGTTGGCTTCCCCCATGCCCCCAATAGGATCTTATGTAGCCCAGATTGGCCTTGAATTGACTGTATAGCTCAGGATAACCTTGAATTGCTGGCCCTTCTGCTTCTACCTTCTGGGATTACGTGTGTCCACCACTAAGGCTGTTTGTTTGCTTGGTTGGTTAGCTTTGTTTATTTGTAATTTTTTAAAGTGGTACCATGACGACCTGAGAGGAAAAGGGTAGACATTCTACAGAGATGGCTATTTTATGTTAAGCATCTGCGGTAAATGATTTTTTAAAAATGCTGTGTATGATGGTGCATGCCTTTCATTTCAGCACTCTGAAAGGAGAGGTAGTGGGGCCTCTGTAAATTCAAGGCCAGCAAAGCTACCTGGAACTTGGTCTTAAAAAAAGAAAGAAAGAAGAAAGGAAGAAAGGGAGGAAGGGAGGAAAAAAGGAAGGAAAGAAGGAAGAAAAGAAAGAGAAAGAGAAAAAAGGGAGGAAAGAAAGCACAAAGCTAATTGTTTCCCATATATATGCAAAAAAAAAAAAAAAAAAAAAACGAGGATGAACTCCGAGAACCCTAGAAGGTGGATTGGAAACACTGTAACCAAGACCTGTTACTCTCTAGATGGAAAAGTTTGAGTTTATCCAAGGCCATGCAGGGCAGTGCTTCCAACCCAAACAACTCAGCTGTTTAATTCCCAGGCTCTTTAGCTCATCCGTTTTTTCCTTCCTACTTATGGATAGTGCCGTAGCTGGAAACAGCAGCTGCGACTCTGAGTAGAGGAGTAGAAAATTTAAAGATAAAAACAGCAACATTTTAAGTAACGTTGTAACACAGCTTTCTGTTTTGAATTGATAGCTGGAAAAAGAGAAGGGGGAAAAAAAACCACATACTTCATGGTTATAGGCAGAAGAGCCCATTTGAAAACAAAGTCTCATGATGCCGGTTTAACTATCACCCTCGAATATCTCCCTCTGCAGCTAGTACTGCTAATACCCCTGAAGTACAGAGACGACAAGAAATAAAACGTCACTTCTCAGAGCCAGTGAGATAGCTCAGTGGTTAAGGTGCTCGCCGCCAAACCTGGTTTCCATCCTTCAGCCCTTGGTGGTGGAAGGAGAGAACTGACTCTCGCAGGTGGTTTTCTGGCCTATCACAGCCATGGCACGCGCTTGCCTGCACACACTACACACAGAGAGAATAAATTAAAAAGAAAAAGCAGTAATAAACGTCATGTGCACTTCTTGATAGATTTAGTCATTCAACCAGTATTTACTTGTTGAGCTCCTGTCACGAAATTGCTCTGTGCTCTCTACTCTGATTCCCTGCTCAGTTGCACTTCATGAGGTTGCATCAGTGTCTAATCAGTACAAGGCATGGAACGGGTTTTCCCGGAATACTTGTGAACAAAGTGAGTCTTACCATGGCTTGCTTTGCCTACCACCTCAGACATACATTTTGGGAGATCGAGGAATAATGTAGACTAGCCAGCTCTGATGTGACCTTTCTCTTAATTTTAGCGTGCACCTTCCCATTCACTCTATAATCCAAATAGCTTACAACCAGGTCTAATGTCTGGCTATGAAAAGATTCCTGACACAAAATTCATCTGAATATGGTCAACGGATGACAAAGCTTTGGTGCTCAGCTGCTACTGTCATTTAGATGTGGACAGATTGTCGTCATGGTTACGATTTTGCTCTTTAAAAAGGAAACACTTTGGTATTTACTACAGTTATCATAGTTTGCATGAGATAACTCGGGGATATAATTAGAGAGGTTACGTGACTGAGCAGTTTTGGAAGTTCCAGATTCCAACACCAATACTTAACATACATCTCGAAAATTGCGTGTATACATTTGTATTAGACTTATTTCTTTATTCTATGGATATTTCTGCAGTGCTGAGACTTGACCTTAGAGTTTCACGCGTGCTAGGCAAGCATTTTACCAGTGAGTTTTATTCCAGCCCAGGGGTGTGTGTGTGTGTATTTAAAGAATTCTTATTTTATATGTATGACTGTTTTGCCAGCACATATGTACATGCATTATGTATGTGTCTGTTGAAGCCATAACAGAGTGTTGGATTTCCTAGAATTGAGAATACAGATGGCTGTGAGCCACTGTGTTGGTGCTGGAAACTGAACCTAGGTCCTTTACAAGAGCAGAAAGTGCCCTTAACTGCTGCTGAGCCGTCTCTTCAGTCTGAGGAATCCTTTCTTTCTTTCTTTCTTTCTTCCTTCCTTCCTTCCTTCCTTCCTTCCCTTCTTCTTCTTCTTCTTCTTCTTCTTCTTCTTCTTCTTCTTCTTCTTCCTCTTCCTCTTCCTCTTCCTCTTCCTCTTCCTCTTCCTCTCCTCCTCCTCCTCCTCCTCCTCCTCCTCCTCCTCCTCCTCCTCCTTCTCCTTCTTCTTTTTTGAGACAGGGTTTCTATGTGTAACAAGAGCCCTGGATGTCCTGGAACTCACTCTGTAGATCAGCCTAGCCTCAAACTCACAGAGATCCTCCTGCCTCTGCCCCCAGAGTGCTGGGATTAAAGGTGTGGCCACCACCACCTTTCGAGTAATACATTTTAGAATGATGTGGATACTGGGAGCTTTAACAGCTATGGAGACCAAGTGATATTCAGCCATGCGATTTCGTTTACACCGCAGAGAAACTGGATCAAAGAAGTAAAATCTTTTTACGTGCCTTTCTCTGTAATCTCCCTTAAAGAACAATAGATTCTAGTGCTTTAATTTGTCAGAGAAAGCAAGCACAAGTCCAGTCCCCCTAGTAGATAAAGCAGTGCTACTTGGGACTTCCGAGTGTTATAGCTTCTATTGTGTCTTCCGAAAGAAAGGAATACTGTCCTCTGACCTGGGAAGACAGTGGCAGCGTGTGGTGTGTGACCTTATTCTCTGACAGCATTCTGGCGCCTGTGTGGGATTTTTTTTTTCATCGCTTATACTTTCTTACTTTTTAGCAGATACAGAGACAAGGCACCTGGCATCTGAATCTCAGCCAATCCACAGGCTTCCTAACCTTGAGGGCAGAAGAAAGGGATCTTAATATCGTTGCCACTTTTAGGTGGACCTAAGATCCCATCTGATGAGCTCACGCCAGCCAGTGGAAGAGATACACGAGCTTGGGGCTCAAAAGGGTATGTACTCTGAAGATGAAATCATAAACGAGGACATCTGATGTGTGTCTCATACACAATGAGCAAAGGGAGGCTGCTGACGGAAATGTCACACGCAGCTGCTTTGAGAGCTCGCTCTCCCCCGTGCTGCTCCGCCCCGCCCTCTTCCTGCGTGCCAGTCATTTGGGGCTCGCTGTTCTCATCCTGCGTGCTTTGAAGCGGGCTGTAAATTGATAGCTGTTACTGCAGTCTCTTCATGGTTGGTTGATGTGCCTGATGGGGCTATAAGAAAAACTGGCTCGGCTACAGTTTGAGTCACGGAGGAAGATTTACCTCGGGAGAGACTTGCCTGCAGTGCCCTGAACAGTTAAAAGTGCTGCCTGTGGTTCCCATTACACTGTTCATCAACGTACTCAGAACAAACTGTTTTCTCCTACAACTTCCTCAGTTGTTCAACTAAAGCCTGCAGCCCTGTGTGAATTAATGAGTTGGGGAACAGGCTGTTTCCTCCAACCTTGAGCTCTCTCCCCTCTACTTTTCCATCGCTCAGCCCTCCTTTTTGGGATTTAAGTTGAGAAACTTGCACATTTTGAAGACATCTTTCCTAACCCGACTGCTTAAAACGAGGATGACTCACTATCTCCCTCTGTAGCACTCAGTCTTGGTTTTTACAACCGATGTTAGGCTCACTTCCTAGGAATTGTTCGGTGTTTGTCTTCGCTATCAGATTGTGAGTTTCATGAAGGGTGAAATTGTGCCTGTCTGCGTCTTGACTCTCCAGCACCATGTTCCCTGCGTCACCAAGTTCGTTCGGGGAATAAATGAGTGATAAATTCTATCTCATAATCACTTTGAAATTCCTTTGTTGAAAACCCCAGTCCTGGACTCTCTGTGCTGTGCTAGCCATGCAGGTAAAATTAAGAGCAGGTGCTGAACAAGAGCCAAAAGGAATCCTGCTTATTGAATGGCTCTCTTTGCTCTGACTATTTCTTATCTTTCTATATCAATACAATCTAAATTCTTCTGTCATGGGAACTGTTCTCTCTAAGCAGCCATGTCTTCGAAGACTGTGGTCTATTTTTTATATGAGAACAGAAATCGCTGGGTACCCCCACCTGCACAACCTCCCTGGGAACAGCCTTTCTATATGCTTTGGGCCACCAACCAGCTCCCAAATCATGGCATGGAGACTTATGTGTTATGAATGTGTGGCCATAGTTTAGGCTTGTCCCACCAGCTCTTATAACTTAATTTAACCTGTTTCTCTTCACCTACGTTTTGCCTTGGGGCTTTTTACCTTTCTTTCATTCAAAAGTCCTACTTTGTGTCTGCCTGGCTGGCTCCGGGCATCTCCCTCTCTTTCTCTTCCCTTCTTTCTTCTCTCCAGCCTAGATTCCTTCTCCTCCTTATTCTCTCTGCCTGCCAGCCCCTCAGGCTATCCCTCTACTGCCTAGCTGTTATTAGACCAGGCACAACAGACATATTTACATCATTAAACAAACGCACCATAAACAAGTGTAACAATCTTTACCTAGTTAAAGTAATGTTCTGCAACATAAACAAATGTAATACACTTTACCTAAAGTAATGTTCTGCAACAGGAGGTGATGAGGGGAAGGGAAGGGAGGGATACAGTCAAAACAAGAATAAACCATCAGGTTACTAAAGAAAATATTTCATATAATAGAATATTATATTAAGAATGAGTTCACTGACTACAATAAACCTTTTTGTTTGTTTGTTTGTTTTTGTTTTTCAAGACAGGGTTTCTCTGTGTAACTTTGGAAACTGTCCTGGATGGAACTCACTCTGTAGACCAGGCTGGTCTCGAACTCACAGAGATCTGCCTGCCTCTGCCTCCTGAGTGCTGGGATTAAAGGCATGCACCACCACTGCCTGACTTGACTTCAATAAACCTTTACTGAAATAACTTATTAACTCTAGGTGTTTCTGAAATATCAACCTGAACTCATTCAATTCTTGTTTTGCTGTTGTTGCAGTAATGTCTTACCCCATAGCCCAGACTGACCTGAGACTCACTGTGTATGTAGCCCAAGCTGCCTTTGAGTTCTCTGGAGTCCTCCTGCCTCAACCTCTTGTGTGCTGAGACCACAGGTGTGAGACACTACTATACTCATTGAGTACCTTGTTCTAGTTGGAAATGTCTTAGAATAGACTCATAACTGAGAGGGAAAATTCATTAATTCGTTGACTATTGACTGAACAATTGTTAACAAACACCACCAGTCAAGCGCTTCTCTAGGTATTTGGAAATGTCAGTAAGAGCAGGCATGGTGGAGCATGCCTTTAACCCCAGCAGAAGCAGGCTAGTCTTTGTGAGTTCTAGGCCAGCCAGGGTTACCCAATGAATTCCGGCTCCTGGCTTCCCACAGCCTCTCTTGCAGTTAGGTTAGGCTCATGTGACTATAGCTGTATGGCCTCTGAGAGGATACCAAGTACAGATTTCGGGCAGAGGAAGGGATCAGTTTGTGTGTGCTTCTCCTCTGACACAGCGTCTCCGTGCCCATGTGTTTCAAGACAGAGTCTGAGCCTCCGTGGTCTCTGTTTGCTCATGCTTCTGTCTTGAAACGCTTGAGGCTAGAGGTGGCCATAGGGGAAACACCTGTGATTTTAGCATTTTCAAGGTGGAAACAGGGGGATTCCAAGATGAAAGCTAACCTGGGTTATAGAGTGAGAACCTGTTTCAAAAGTGAAAAACTTGAGCCTGGGTAACTTACAAATAATAAAAACTAAAACTTATTTCTCTCAGTGCTCACAGCTGTCAAGTTCAAGATAAGATAAGGGAGGGCTGGCATTCAGTGAGGGCTGCCGTCTTCCAAAGTGGATGAGGTCTGTGACCGCGCATGTGCAAAGGCAGCAGAGGAGTGCACCTGCTCCCCAAAGCCCTTTTATGAAGCCCTAACCCACTAATGATGGATAAATCACAGACTAAGCCCCTCGAGACCCCACTTCTTAATATCATAATGGGAATTAAGTTTACACATGAATTTTGGAGAAAACAAACATTTGAACCATAATATCCTATTCCTGATCCTTCACAATCTGTAGCCCTCTCCCACGGGGGATACCTTCTTCCCATCTCAACAGTCCCTTGCATCTGAACTTGGCACCAATCAGCTTTAAACCAAGTCCAAAGTCTCATCCAAATGCAACCTAAATCCGATAGCACTCAAGGTACAATTCATCTTAAGACAAGTAGAGAAAAGACACATCCCCGCTCCAAAAAGTAGCAGTAGGCCAGAAGGACTATGTCACAGCTCTTAAGTAGACCTAAAACCCAGCAAGAAAATAATCTTAAACCTTGAGCCTGAGGCTGGGAACTGATTCTTGACTTTCTGTCCTACTTTCCAGACATGCACTGGAGCAGAGGTTAGGCCCTAGGCAGCTCCACCTCCACAGCTTCTCAGGGAGCAGCTGCTTGGAGTTGAGCTCCGGTGTCTCTCTCAGCCTCTGTGTCCCCCTAGACACAGAGCCTGTCTGTAATAGCCCTAACCTCCCTGCTCTATTGAGCGCCGTACCCCTCTGGAAGCCCTCTGCCTGGGCCTCAAGGCTTTCTGGGGACAGCTTGGGAAATGTAGGATGAAGCGGCGTCTCCACAGCTCTTGGTCGGTGCACACCTACAGAGCTGGCCCTAGAGAACCCTGCCAAAGTTTATGTGCTTTCTAAGGGGTCATGATGAGCCACTCCTGGGTCCATTGGAGTCCCAGCCTGGGTGGCCAAGGAGTGCTACATTGGAATGTGAGTAGAGATGAGGCAGTACTGGGCAGTGACCCTTGAGATCTCATTGTTAACTATTCTGCCCTCAAGGCCCTAGCTCTCTGGACAGGGCTAGGACTAGCAACCAGGAAGGTTTGAAGTGCCTCTCCATTGTTCTTCTTAGGCCTTACTCCTAGCCAAACTAACCCTCCTTATCAAATGATTGCTAGGACCACAACCCTGCTATCCTCCCAGTTGAGCTTACAGTCTAGTCAAGTTCTGTCCCCTCTGAATTATAAAGTCCATCTTTGTTTTTGTCTTCTCACATTTTACACATAAGTAGTCAAAAGAAGCCATGCAGCCTGGCAACATGACGCACACCTTTAATCTCAACCCTCGGGAGACAGAGGCAGGCAGATCTCTTGCGTTTGAAGCCAGCCTGGTTATAGGACAGCCAGGGCTAGCTACGTAGAGAGACCCTGTCTCAAAAAGCAAACAAAAAGCAAAAATTTTAAAAAAGAAGCCATGTAAGCCTCCTCGGTACTTTGCTTAGATGCTTCTTCCATCAAATATTTTAGTTCAGGCTGACAAGATAGCTTGGTGGGTAAAGGGGCTGACCACCAAGTCTGACAACCTGAATTTGATCCTTAGGACCCATAGAGTGGAAAGAGAAACTGACTTTCACAGTTCTCTGACCTCTACATATGTGCCTTCACACACACACACACACACACACACACACACACACACACACACACAC